AATGTCCTTTCAGAAGGAGCATCTCAAAAACACAAAAACACACACCCTCACACACTCCATCTGTCGCAAACACGTGTGATAGCTGTGTTTTACATGCATGATTAGTTTGACTAACGACATATTATGGGATGTACATTACACTACATTTGAGCTTGAGCGCTGGAGTATCTGACGTCAAGTATGTCACAATGACCGTCTTCACACACAGTATGAAAACCAGCAAATGTCGTAATCACCAACAGGATACTCTGGTTCTCCTTTCTGGGTTGAAGGTGTGTCAATTACAAAATAATGGCTAAAGTTAATTGGTTTCAGTCATAATCATTTATAATTTCTGCAGCTTAAACAGTAGAGCGCTGTTACCAATGCTTACGAATGCACGAACTAATAAAATGTACACCTTCAATACAATAGCAAAAAGCGTCTGCTGTCAATGTTTAACGTACAATTTAACTTGTATGCATTTTGATAGGCTTGCACAACAAAACTGTATTTCCCATCATTCCTCCATTAAAGGAATTAAGGCACAAATCACTATCGATATTTAGTTCACACTCATAAACACAGACTGACAAGCCTAACCAAGACAAAAACAGATAAAAACTTTCTTATCAGCAGCATTTCCAAAAACGATCACTGTTACTCTGTGTGAGTGTGTGTGTAGAAAATAGCAGATAACGCAGATGAAGACGACCAAAAGACACAACACATCCAGTAAAACAGGAGCTGATGTGTGGAGGGGTTCACAGATGACCTTGTCGCATATTTTGGGTTCTCCGTATGTGTGTGTGTCGTCCTTGGACGGCTGTTTCCCACCCTAGTTTGGTGGGTTTGTCTGTAAGTGGGCAGAGATGACAAATGTTTCCCACAAGGCCACACCCTTGAGCGCCAAAGCCCCCACTCCCACAATACATCTGTGCGAAGCGTCCCAAATTGCAAATCCAAAGGCTTAGGATATCAAACTGATGAATTTATGTATTAAAACACACAAGCAAAAGTAATAAAGACTTTTGAATAGCAAACTAGAAAGAAAGACAGAAACATCTGACCTTCCATGAAATGAAGCATCACAGGGTCAGCGAACACACAAGGGTTTGTATGAGAAGGATGTCAGTCGTGGTTGTGAATGAGTCTCGTCTTCGTCTGACTCCTGCTGTGAAAAAAACAAACACATCAGTTCTCACTGCATTCGGACTGATGCAAAGGTCCCACTTTATATTAAGTGTACTTACATCTAAGAATAGGTACAATGTACTTACTGTGTTCAAGTCGTATTGTAAAAGACATGGCTGCTATTGAGGTGTGATATGGGTAAGGTGTGTGTGGTATGGGTCAGAGTTTATGGGTGGGTTAATGTGTAAAGAAAGGGTCAACAGTGTAAATACTAATGTAATTACATGAATTAATTACATGCATGTATTTTTTTAATATAAGTACAATGTAAAAACATGTATGTACACAATAAATCCATTGTATTAAATTATTCATTTCAATGTTGGTACATAGTAAATTAAGCCACAATATAAAGCGGGACCAAAAACACTTACTTTTCATTTAGTTTAACATTAAAACATTTTTAAAAAGATAAAAACAGAGACATAAACCATTTTTGGTTCCTCAAAGAACCTTTCAGTCATCACTTCTTAAAAGAGCCTCTTTTTTCTTATTGTGGAAAATATTCTAAACAAAGCGTTACCAGTGCAAGTTTTATTAATGCGTCATTGTGTTACGTTTTCAAAATGTGTCAAGCATGTGAATTCATAACACAACACAAATCCCTGACACATTCTCAGTGTTGTCACAAATTGCTTTTCAGGGTTTAAAAAAAAAAAAAAATTTTATTTTGTAGTTCTTTAGATGCTCTGGTACCAAAACACTACAATGACTTTAGAGTTCTTTCCTGAACCACTGAAAAACATTATTTTTAAGTAGCCTATATGAGATATTTTGATTGAACCGCCCGTTTTTACCCCGAAAAGCAACTTTTGACCACAGAGAATGCATCAGGTTGTGTTGTGTTATGAATTGCGCTTGACACATTTAATTTTCTTAGAGTATAAAACACTGTCTAATTCAGGAATCTGTTTTAAAGGACGAACAGAATCACCTGTCTAAGGTTTCTATGACAACTAACTGCAAATATCTTCAAACAATATGTGTGTGTGTGTGTGTGTGTGCGCGCGTGACACAGGTCTCCATAATTAATTTGTCTAACTAAAATCTCTTACATTTTCACATCTTGCATTCGTCACGTTCTCACCAGCACAAAGTAAATGTAAATCATATTTTATCCAGTTAAACGCTGGCTTTGGTATAAAGCAACTGTGCTCATTAAAAAGCAGGTCGTGATGAATCTGTCATAAATTACATAACTAGGTGGATTCTTGATGTCATTTAGGAAATCCTGTCCGTGTTAAAGCGCCGAGTCATGATTTAAAGAGACAGATTCGGGGGGAAAATGTCACAGTGCCAAAAAACACAAAGAGAGAGTCTGTAATAGTTTTATGTCTTTTGAAACAATAGATTTGAAGGAAATGCACTCCCTCTCGCTCTTTTCACCCAAACACATGCTCTATTTCTGAAAAAGTACCGTCATTTCAACATGTGTCTGTCTCACATATTGTACATTTGTTTTCAGAAATGCAGACTACATTTGCAGTGTTAAGAATTGAATTGAACTGATTGAATGGAATTGAAACATTATGATTGTGACAATGTCAAACATCTTTGATTATCAGAATCCAAACATGATCCAGGGACATTTTAAAGTTCACACTGATTTTAGCTTGAGTTAAATATTTTACTGAACAAAATAGATTTTTACTGTTAACCTTGACAAGAGATTTTGTTATAAAATGGTGAGAAAATAAGATCTCATTGACATTACATTAAAATACAAATATAACTTAAATGAAACATTGACAGCTTTTGGTATTATTATAGGATGAGATTGTCCATCGTAATGTCCAGCTTTAAAAACAGAAGATAATAGACATTCATTAGACGGATTAATGCGTGTTATGCTAACATTTCTAATCCAATTATATACAATATATGATAAATTATGGAAACCAAATAAAATTTATTGGATTCAAAAAAGCAGAGCAGACAGCAAAGTGTGTCTACATATATATATATATATTATTAAACTATAGATATATAAAAATGATAAAGAAAATGTACATTACTAAAATATATTAAAAATTATACGTATAAAAATGTTTTAATAAAAATAATAAAGAAATAAATTACTTACTATATATATATATATATATATATATATATATATATATATATATATATTATTAAACTACTTTATATTTAGAAAATGGTATACACTCTAAAAAATGCTGGGTTGTTTCAACCCAAATTTGGGTCAAATATGGACAAACCCAAATGCTGGGTTAAAAATGTAATTAAAAAAATGTACAGTTGAAAGTGAAAGTAGAAGTTGGGTTCAAATTTTAATTTACATTTTTAACCCAACATTTGGGTTTGTCCATATTTGACACAAATTTGGGTTAAAACAACCCAGCATCGTTTAGAGTGTACACATAGGAAAAAAATAAAATAAAATATATATATATATATATATATATATACACATTTTAAAGAAAACATTTATTATAAAAATATATATCCTATATTAAAAATTATAGAACATGTATATTACTTAAATCTATTATATTATATTTAAACACACATATGTAAAAAAAAAAAACACATTACAGTAAAAACTGGATGAACACATGTACTCTCACAACTGTGAGTATAAGTTTACAGGTTAACTAACTGATTATCCGTCTACCTCTGGTTTCAGTTTCAACGAAGGGAAATTGAACAGCCCTGTTGAGGAACATGCAGTCTGAGCTGCAATATGGGTCAAACCGCACGTATAAAACAACCAACTTCTAATTAACTAGAGAGTCGTAACGTCTGTCAATTCTGCCATTATATAAAGTGTCGCTTAATTAAACTGACACACATGAAAAATATAAGCAGCCAATCTGACCTGTGCGCCACAGGAAACGATGCAGAACTTCTATGACATACTATATTCTGCAGGAACAGAAAACGAGCATACTAATCTTCCTTTTGCTGCATTGTATGGCGGTCATACTTGTGCACGGCAGTCTTAATAAAGCGTCACTGGCATAATCATAGATTTTGTTTTATAATATTTTCTGTTTACATTTCAGTCATTTCTTTGCTTTTGGTTTTAGTTAATGACAATAACCCTAGTGCACAGGAAGTCATTTACCCTGCATGTATAGATTACATACTACATTTGCCAAAATGTATAGTATGTATCTAGTATAGAACTATAATACAATGCTTCAGATATTGTACCCCACAATGCATTGTGTTCTGGTCAAATACAACATTTTGGGAAATTATAATAATAAATCCCATTATTTAATATTTCTTGGCATATTATGTGAATAGATTGCCAAATGTTTAAATAAATTGCATGAATTTTTATTTTTATCACTACAACTGTATGCCACTAGCCAAATCAAATCCATTCAGGTCATGTGACAGTAATTGTTTTAAGAGAAATACTGTATATATCTAAGACCATAAACAGTGTATATTGTCCAGTATTTAGCAAGTTTTCAGAAGTAAGAGTAGTGTGCTATTGTGAACTTCGGGTCCCATACCTTCGTCTAATTCATCTTCTGAAGTCAGCGCACATGAATACAGTATATATAACTGGTACTTTTCTTTCTCTCTCTCTCTCCCTTCATTTGGGCCCAAGTTCGAGTTGCAAATCCGTCACGAATAAAACTAAAAATTCATTTTGTCTGACCCCAAATCAGAGGGTTTGTGCACCATGGACTTTATTACATACTGAGCTTAAACTGTGTTGTGGAGGAGGATGGGTATTATTATCCTGAGCTTCCCACCCAGCTATAAAAACTACATCGCCGCTCTAGAGTAGATCCACCACCTCCTCTCTCTCTCTCTCTCTCTCTCTTTCTCTCTGTGTCCCTCTCTCTCCTCCTTCCTGTCAGCGTCCACACAAACCTCTCAGTCTCTCCGCGTGTGCTGTTGTTTTGGGCTTGTAGTTGGATGCTCGTCTCTGCTTTTTTTGTGAATGGAGAGGAGACGCTCGGGCAGAGAGGATGGACAGACGTCTTTGTGTCCCTCAGAGACGGAGATGAGACCGGCTCGGATCTGAGACCACACTTAGTCCTGGAATAAAATCACACACACACACACTTAGACACACCTGAGGATCTGGACGGGTGAGTGAGTTACTGCTAACCTGTCTTCAAGAGTTCTGCATGTGTGAAAGTCTGTCTCAGTGTGTGTTTGAGTCACGATGCGCACAATATTTGAGTCTGTGGTTGACATGTGCGTTCGTACAAGCTGTTTATGTTTGTTTGTACGTGTCCGTCGGGATGTTTGTGTGCATCTCAGGTAGAGAACAGCATGTCTGTGGGCAGTCATTTGATGACTCATGTAATTATTTGGGCCATTCTTTAGATGTCGTCTCCAGAAAATGAGCGCGTGTAGTTTTGGCCGGCTGTAAACGCGAACTGACACAAACAAGTAATGACACAGCAAATCGACAATTACACCAGACACCGCTGACTCTGATGTGTGTGACAGCAGCAGAGCAAAGTGCTCCGTTATCACAACATGACTTGAAGTTATTTACTTTACAAGTTGTTCACAACTGTTCGATAAAGTGCACTATTTCATTTCTCATGATCTTTTAAATGTCGCCCACTGATCTAAACAGATGATTTTCATATCATCTTTAAATATACAGTATTTGGTCATTAAGGTTTTAATGTTTTTGAAAGAAGCCTCTTAGTTTCACCAAGGCTGATCAAAAATACAATAAAAACAGTAAAAATGTAGACATATTATTTAAAATATCAAAAAATCATGTGACACTGAAGACTGTAGTAATGATGCTGAAAATTCAGCTTTGATCACAGGAATTAATTTACATTTTAATATTCAAATAGAAAACCCTTACTTAAAATTGTAATATTTCACAATGTTACTGTTTTTACTGTATTTGATCAAATAAATGCAGCCGTGGTGAGCAGAAGAGACCTTAATGTTTCAAAACTTTCGACCGATATTGTATCACATTACATTTTTATATGAAACAGAAGAACCTTTCACTTAGATATATTAAGCCAAACATTTGAACTTTGACTGTCACTGCTGTAATTAAGTGTAAAACAATGTATTTAATGTATATACCTAAAAATTTGTAGTTATAGGCCATATATAAAAATAAAGTAAAACTTTATTATACATGAATTATATATGCATACATAATATGTAAATAGATTTAATTTACATACATACTTCATATGGTGCAATTTATAAACTATATTTGGGGTTGGAAGAAAAAAAAAAAACGGACGCCACAATGCAAAAATCGGATGCATATCAGATTTGTTTCCACACAATCGGCCCAGATCAGATTGGCAAATGAATCTTGCTGTTCACATTATCATCCAAAAACAGATTTGAGCTTTATCTGCTTTATCGAAATCCACCAAAAGCACAAATGCGAAACAAAATTTCATAGACGGTCACTTGAATATCCTTATGTTTTAGGATTTTTTGAAAGTCTGTAAAGAAAGATGACGCGTGTTTGTGTGTGTTAGAAGAGGCCTGAACTCAGATTAAAAACAGTGTAAATTACTGTTTGTAGCAGGTGAAGCGTGTGATGCAGGTGTCTGTATGGTCTTGCTTCATATATTTAGCAAACAGACATTACACAATCCCTGTGTGTAATCTTAACAAGTCTCTTAAAGTGTCGTTTACGTTTGCTCTCCTCTGTTGGCGGGGGAATCAGTCTACGGGTGAAAAGCAGCTCAAACATTTGGGTCAAATTTAAAGTAGAACGTTAAAAGAACTCAGAGAGGGCCAAAAAACACAAGGCCAAACCTTCACGCCACACTTTATTATGTTTTCTTTAACTTTGTTAAACAAGGTCCCGGTTTAAGTGTGTGGTCTGTCATAAATTTGTATTTGGTTGGTTGACAACTGACATGCACATTGATTTTAGATTTTTGTTTTTATATATAATTAAGCTTTGCCATCACTGGAAGAAAATTACATTTTAAATTATATTAGAATATAGAAATCATTTTAAATTGTAATTTTACCTTGGTGAGCATAAGAGCCTTTAAAAAACATTAACAAAAGATTATTTATAAACAAAAATATTAATCCAAACTCTTGACTATTAGTGTGTTCATATATACATAAGAGTATTCTTAATACATTAAGAATAAAATGATGTAGGCCTATTTAAAGAATACAGAAACTAAACTGGTTCAATTAAGTATCTTATAGATGTTTACTGTATTTTTAATTAAATAAATAACCTATATATATATATAGGTTATTTATTTAATATATATATATATATATATATGAAGAGTTCAGATGCCAAGTGCCATTTGAAATTTTCTTCTAGAATGATCATTTTTATCAAGCTTGTATATTTAAGTTCAGTGATTTCACTTAAATGGCAATGATGATTACCTATTAATTTTTATTTAAGTGAAATTCCTGAACTTAAATATACAAGTTTGACAAAAATCATCATTAAAGATGAAAATTTCAAATGGCATTTAGAGGCTTTTGCATCTGAACTCTTCATATATATATATACACACACACACTCACATACATATATTTGACATGATTGTTATTTTCCTGTTTATTCCTGTGAAGCTGTTTTGAAACACTATGTATAAATAGAGGTGACATGATTAAATTGAAGTCACGGTATATAGAAATATTGTGAAGAATCAGAAAAATCGGATTTAAAACAGTTTTTTACTTGACATCATCTTGACGTCACTTCAGCTACCCATTAGCAAAACTCAAAACTTCGGTTATTATTTAATGCAAATGCCAAAATTCCACAACCACAAAAGTAATTAGACTGAGGAAACATTAGAAACCCTGCAAATGTCTGAAACCTTCTAAACTGAATCGGAAGTCTCAGTAGTTCACAGTAACCAAAGCACCATTAAACCGTTTGCTGTGTATTATATGCAAATCACTACAGGGCAGAGATAAACCGTATTCAAATCCACAGCCTTCTATTTGGCGATTGGCGTGCCGTCGCTAGAGCGCAGGAGAGGGAGAGAGGCAGATCTGCTGTAAACAGGGCCGTGAGTCTCAGCAAAGCACTAATAGACTAAAACCTACAGGTGCCCCTGCAGGTGAGGCCCCTAAATGATCTCCCTCAGGACCCACGAACCCACGGCTGGATTTAGCCAATTTACCAGCAGTCTGAGCACCGTGACACGCGCTCGCTCCTGTCTTACACTCCAGCCCTGCCTCCCTAAAGAGGCCATGATGAAATATCTCTCACAAATGTGAACTGTTTTAACTTTTGGAAGAGATGTCGTAACTTTACCATATCAAGAGTTGGTCATCTTTGCATCACAAAGTTAGACGAGGCACCTGTCGTGCACCGAACGCATGCATTTAACCCCTAAAATTGTGCTCGTGAATACATGAACAAATAATCACTACATTAATTTTGAAGTCACAGTCTTTGTCCCAGTTAAGACGATCATCAAAGCAGGTGTTCGCCTGCGTGTGCTTATGCATTTAGTTCAAACAGTGTGTTATTTTGAACGATCAAAGAACTGAGGGGGTAGTTTGGGTTTTTACTCACAGTGTCATTTATGTTTTGAGATATGACACATTGTGATTGATGTTGAACTCAGAACTAGTAATGCATGAACGAGTAAAGGTGAAAATAGGAAATATCTGCAAACAAGGCAAGCACTGATCCTGCTTAAATCACACTGCATGCGTTCATTTCACATCTGAGCTCATAAACGACCATTTTTATCATCAATTCAGACTGATTCACACATAGGTTTAACCGATTCGTTAAAACGGACGATTTTGTGAATCAAGCGCCACTGAAACGTGCTTATTGCATGTTCGTTTTAACAACAAGGACAACACCGCAATATCAAAGAAACACATCTAGCTTTTTTTTTTTGCAATGCTCCTCCTGAATAGCGGTGCAGGAAACACTGGTCCACATGCATGCATCTTTTACAAATCACAAACGCTTCTCTGAGCTGAAATGAGTGTGTGGTGTTTTATCAGGCTGAAGGGACCGTGTGAGGGTATTTTACGAGACGTTCTTCACGTCTTTCCACAAACTGCGTAGATTAAGATACACCAGAACTAACCCTGAACATTGTTTTCAGATCCTCAGATGATCTCTGAAGAACATCCATTAACCTCAAGCAGGGCATCTGATTTGGCATTGCAACAAAATGCAGCAAATAAGCATCTGAAAAAATGAATTTATTTGATTTATAATCATACTTATATTATTTTAAATTTCTCAGGGGATTCAGAATTTACTAAACAAATGTTTTAAATATTTGAAATATATATATAACCAAATAATATTACAATCTAAATGTAAACACGTTCATACAACAAAACTCTAATTTAAATATATATAAGCTCACAAACGAAATTTAATATGTTTAAGGTATAAACTATAACTATAACAAATAGCCTTTACTGAAACGATAATGAGCAGGATGTGAACATTACAATAAAATAGTACACTGTGGAAAATGACGTCGTCTTTCCTTATCGTTAGAAACATCACAAGCAAACCGCAAAGGCTACGTCTACAGACTAATTCTACGACACTCCAATTGAGTGCAAATTATCAAATGATATTAAAACAAAAAGTGTAAAAAAGTACGTTCTGTCTGTCTGGAGGAGGACAAACTGAGCTGCGGTCCAGTCGCAGATATCAATCTAAAGCAAGCTCTTTCCTAGCAGTGCCACATCAACAGTTTCGACAGGATTTCAGATAGCATCTATCGCTGAGGTGTGTGTGGGTCAGTCAGCTCGGTGGGAACCAACAAGGACAACGGCTTAATAAACATACTCACTCTAGGTTGCATGTAAGGGTATGGTCAGGATTGAAAACAACAGAAAAGTCGCAGACAAAATTTAGCAAGAAGTTAGACAAATGAAATGATTTATAGTTATTATTAAGCGCAACATGCGTTGGCACACACGAAGGAGTAAATTGTCAAGGTTTGAAGGAGTTAGTCAGTGTTAAGCGTGTGCGGAGGGGCCAGTCGGCCCTCAAACACGCACACTATAATTATGGGAGTGAGGGAGGAGGTGTGGAGGGCCGGACTGAGAAAAGAGGAGACGAGAAACGCATGTGCTCCCAGGGTGGGTGGGAGACCTCACTGTCTCTCTTCCTTCTTTTTTCACTCCCTCCCTACTGTTGTTTTTAGCTCTGAACGCCTATTTAACTTGGCTGGATTTTCCAGGGTGGGGCAGAGTTTTTTTTTTTTTTTTTTTTTTGCTCAACCTGTCAGGGAACTTCTAGGGACATGAGATTTCATCCTTCCCTCTTCCTCTGTCTTTCTCTTTGTTTCTTTCTGCAATTAAACATTTTAAAGTGTTTGTGTTGTTTGTACACATGCAGTTAAAGGGATAGTTCACCCAAAAATGAACATTTTGTCATCATTTACTCTCCCTCGAGCTGTTCCAAACCTGTATGGGTTTCTTCTGTTGGACATGAAAGCAGAAATGTTGAAGAATGTTGGAAATCAAAAAAAATAAAAGGATAAAAAGTACTGTGGACGTCAATGGGTGCCATCAACTGTCTGCACCAACATTCTTCAAAATATCTTCTTTTGTGTTTTACAGAGAAGAGAAATTAATTCAGGGTGAGTAATGACAATTAATGAGGGTGGGTAATGATAAAATTGTCACTTTTTGGGTGAACAATCCTTTAAAAATCATCAAAAGAATAAAATGTTATTTATACACAATTAGCAAAGAACAAACCAATCAATTATAAATAATCAGAGGCATTATTAAATGCATTGCATGTTGGTTAATACAGGCCAAAATTTTTTTTTTGTTGTTTTTTTTGTGGCATCTATATTTATGTATATTTACCTGAAGGGTCACATTGTTTAAAACACAAGGCTCTCAATTTAAAAGATGTATCGCGTGTTACTTGACTATATGTTCAAACGGTAATTATAGCATCAGTCTCCTAGTAACAGCAGAAGCGAGTTTAAAATCCTGATTGGTAAGTGCTGAGCTCAATGTTATATAGAGAATCAAGACAGACAATGTAGGGGGAAAAATCCAGAAACCACCAGTAGCTCATTTTCTTTGGCTCAGAAGCTGTTTTTGGACCATTGAACACCAGTTGATAGCTTTCGGTGGTGGCGGGACGTATGAAAGCATCCATCCACATGCCTGCAGTGACCACGGGGATGAGACACACTGAGATTAAACTCTATTCATAGCCATGAATGAAGGACAATGCTGCCAAAATGCCTCTTGAAAAGTCACTGTAAACATTTCAGGGAATCCGCAGGTACAATTCGGGCTCCATTCATGAAGGACTGTAGTTTAGGAGCAACTGAACAGAGTATGCAAAAATATAGCTTTGCAAATACTTTATTATTGTTGGACACTGTGCACATCTAAATTAGACATGACTAAAATAGAATAATATTAAAAAAATGTAATAAAATAAAAACGATTCAACATTGCATGCCTGTTAATTAATCAAAAGTAATTCCAATTAAGTAGCCCCATTAGGGCTCTCAAGTGATGCAAGTAAAACTGGAGGTGGTGGGTTACGTTTACTCATGCCCTGACACTTTTTTTCCCGTGGAAAGCAGAAACTAGAGCCTGACCCCTTTTGCCTTCCTGTGTTGTCTTGTCTTTTCTTTCCGAACGTGATAAAGATAAGTGTCAGCTTTTCTCACAATGCAAACGATCTGATTTATTTTGCTATCTGCAAGGCCTACACAACGAAATAGCCACTGCTTTCAATATATGTCATGAAAAGCAGAAGCCTGTGGAGCTGCTGTTTGATCGCAATCAGAGAGAAACAGAGATTTGATCCTTGCACGCTCTATGGGAGCTAATGAATTATCTGATGATGTGGCGCATCCTCTTTAACCGCAAAGTGCACGCACACACAAATTACACACTTTTGCAAAAACATTTGCTCAAATCTCATTGTATATCAATAATATTTTAATGTAGATCTGGGTGATATGGCCATATTTATTCTCACAATACTTTTATTACTCCCCATTTCATTTGATATCAATATTAATAATTTTATACTTTTAACATGGAAGGAAATTCATTCCACATGTTTGAAAATGATAGTTTGTTACAAGTAAACTTAAACATTACCATTTTATTAATGAAATCTGTTGAAATTCTGTTTTAAAAATGTTTTATGATTTAATAAAAATGTATCATAAAAAATGGTGTCTGGTGAAATTCATTTAATCAATCTTTTAAAATGTCAACAATTGAAAACATAACAATTCATTTACAACAAAATACTGCATTTTTATTATTAAAACAGAACTTGTATACTAAAACATGGGTGAACAAATACCTTGGTTATCCCTAAATCATAATAATAATACTTTTTTAATTTTTTCAAAGTTGCAAATACAATTTGGAGTAAGTTTTACAAGAAAATACTACTTCCGTCTTCCTAGAATTTCATGTTAAATTCAAAGTGTCACCCCTTCTCTTCACAATTATTTGTGAAATTTACTAGCAATTTCAGAATGAAAATCCTACACCAGTTTTTAGCGTGTACACAGTGAAAAATATTTCTGTCAATTTCAGTTAAACTGAACTACAGTAGTCAACATTTGAAGTGGATCAAAAAAGTTAGTCGTGCGAAAACAAGAACAGGGATTGTTCAAAATCATTTATAACTTTGATGAAAGGTTTTGATCCACTTCAAATGTTGACTATTGTATTAATTTGGCAGTTTGTAATGAAAAGCTATAGCCTGCATTCTAGCATCTAATTGTGTCGAAATTTACTCCAAAATTAATTATTGATATGATTTATTTGTTTTTATGATAAATAGGATAACAAACTGCAGCTCTTTCAAGAAACTGCTGAAGACGTATGTTTTTCGGCAGCACTTGATTCAGTAGTACTAACACTTTCTCTTCTCTTCTATTCTTTACTAAAAAAAATGCACTAAAATTAAACTGAGAGGGCTTATTGCACTTACGTATTGTTGTCCTACTGTTAGTTTTACTGCTTCTATTTTTCTCATTTGTAAGTTGCTTTGGATAAAAGCGTCTGCTAAATGAATAAATGTAAAGGTAAATGTAGCTCTGACCAATTTCACATTTTACCTGTACACAGATTCCCCAGAGAAGATGGCGCACACAGACGAGGACCTGATCGGAATCCCCTTCCCGAACCACAGCAATGACATCCTGTGTAGTCTCAACGAGCAGCGGCGGGACGGGCTTCTGTGCGACGTCATCCTAGTCGTCAGGGATCAGGAGTACCGGACCCATCGATCAGTCCTGGCCGCCTGCAGCCAGTACTTCAAAAAACTCTTCACGGTGGCCACCGGCTCCAGTCGGGACGCCAACCCGCACGCCATCTACGAGCTGGACTTCGTGGCGCCGGAATCGCTGACGGCCATTCTGGAGTTTGCGTACACATCGACGCTAACGGTGACCGCATCCAATGTCAAGGAGATTCTGAGTGCTGCGAGGCTCCTGGAAATTCCCTGCATCATAAACGTGTGTTTGGAAATCATGGACACGGGTGGAGGGGGAGAAGGACCTGCAGAAGCAGAGGAGTTTGAAGGGGATGACGAGGAAGACGAGGACGAAGAGGAGGAGGTTGACTCGAAAGATGGAGAATTTGAGGACGATAACAGTGAGAAGTCCGCACAAGGAAATGTGGCGGAAAACCAAGATAAAAGCCTAGAGGAACGAAAAGTTTGGGAGGACAGGAGAACGGACAGCCCACCCTGCAGCTCGCAACAAGAGGCGCCGAAGCCAGACCGTGATGGACAAGAATCCCAAAGACGCCCATTGGACACTCCAAGTGCTGGGAAACCCAGAGGCCCGGAGGGATTGGAGGGCCGGGCCCTGAAAGACTTCTCCATAGAGTCCTTACTTCAAGAGGGGCTGTATCCGAAAGTGCCAGGCTTGGAAAGAGGAGCTGGATTCTCACCCCTTCTCCCAGGCTTTTATCCTCCAATGTGGGCTGCAGAATTCCCGGGCTACCCTCAGATTCTGGAGCCCCGACACCGTTTCCCCGCTGCGTCGCTGGAAAACAGCCCTCTCGACCTCGCAGTCAAGAAAGAAGTCATCAAAGAAGAGTTAAAGGATGAACCCACGAACCCTATCCTTCACAGAGACTTCCTCAAAGACTTTATGAGTCCAGGTTTGGGTCTAACCTCGGACCCCGCTCTCGGCCCGATCAAGGAGGGATCGGACTTGCGGTCCTACCTGAGTTTTCTTTCCGCCTCTCATCTCGGGACACTGTTTCCTCCGTGGCAGCTGGAGGAGGAGAGAAAGATGAAGCCCAAAGCGTCACAGCAGTGCCCGATCTGCAACAAGGTGATTCAAGGAGCGGGAAAGCTGCCGAGGCACATGCGAACACACACGGGGGAGAAGCCCTACATGTGCACCATCTGCGAGGTCCGCTTCACCAGGTGAGTCGGGTTAGACGAGAACCACAAACTTCAGTAAAAATAGTTAATTACCCCTTTTCCACCAAAAAAAGAACTGGTTCGGAACTGGTGCTGGTTCAAAGTTGGTTCGGAGTTGGTTCAACTTGCGAACCGCTTCAGAACCTGTTTGTTTTTCCACTGACTACAGCGCCCAGGGAACGACGTCGTTACATCACTGTGTACGTCGCCATACGTCTTAGCTAGAAACGCTTGCAAATACAACATTACTTTCGGATTATCTCTAACTCGTATACCAAGAAAGCTTTAAAAACAATTGAAATATGCAAGTCTTTTAATCTTTTGTTTGATATGTAATTTTTTCTGATAAGTTCTGTACCCCTGTAATTGTGTCTTTTTTTCTTTCCATTTATTTGTTCTATATTGTGACTTTTCTTCTTTGCTTATAATGTCTTCAATAAAAAAATTACAAAAATAGAAATGCTTGCGTTAACTTCAAGCATAACAATTACAAAGGCGGACTCCATCGTGTTTCTGCAAATGTTTCTCTTGGCTTTGCGATCCTTTATTATGGTCAGAAAAGATGTTTAGAATACATCTAAACCCGCCCCAGCCCCCGACGTAAGCATGACGCGGTAAAAGAACGGTTCTAGTCCAGCAAAGAGTTGGTGCCGCTTTGGAACCAGTTCTCCTGGCCGAGAACCGGTTCTTTGGCTGTCGAAACACAAAGAACTGGTTCGCGCGCAGGCACCGGCTCCGAACCGGCACTCAAAATGCTTCGGTGGAAAAGAGGCTAATGAGAGAAGATAAAGGAAGTGATACTAGTAAAGTATACTTTCCTGTAGTTCCCTCGTTAAACTTTGTATTTTTTCGACACACGTAACAATTATTACTAAACATTTAATTTTATTATTTGTATTATTTATAATTGTATTTTATTTCATTTATTATTAAATTACTCTTTTAAAAATAACTTTTGACACTTAATAGTAAAAGTTGATGGGAAGAATGATGATATTATTTTATATATATTTTTAAGTATTACAACTACTATTTACCATTTAATTTTATTATTTTTATCTACCTTTTTATTATTATTATTAAATTACAATTAAAAAAACTTGCCAGTTTGATTTATATTGTAGTTGATGGGAATTACGGTGGGTGTATTTTGCATTTTTCTATTGTAGTTTTATAATTATTATTTACTATTTTAACTTATTTGTTTGCTTTTTTTATTTATCTTATTTAGAATTCTATTTAATTACTTTTATTTTTTAATTAAAATTATCACTATTATTATTATTTTTTTTGCCACCTTTATTTATAGTGATTGTTGATGGGAATGATAGGAGGAAATGGAGACATTGTTAATGCACAACAACACCATTAAAGTGATAGTTAACCCACAAATTTAACTAAAAACTTGCCATTTACTCGCCCTCATGCTGTTCCAAACCGGTATGACTTTCCTTAATCTGAAAACGTTCAAAACCTCATGAGCGTGAACAAGTTGGGTGAACTATCCCTTTAACATTTCAGGACTGTTTTTAACATCATTCAATCAGATATAGTGTAAGAATAACACTTTAAAAAAAACAGACAAATTGAAAAAGGCAAAGAATGTTTTACAATGACAGATTTACGAGAAATAATTCTGACTTGCTGTCCCTCAAACAATTTTTTTCCCTCAAACAAATTACACTTGACTGTCTACAAGAATAAATAGCCTCTTTGAAGCTGAACAGCTAAGCTTCAGTATTACAACAATGAAATGGCACATGAAAACTAGAGCAGCATCATAAGGACCAACCTGCTGTGAAACACTTTATGCATCACTGTGGTCTAAGCCCGCATGAGGTTTCCACACTGTAATAAAAGCCAAAGCGTGGTGATGTTAATATAAGACCTACATTTCACTTTTGGACTCAAACGCTCTGTAAAGGAATGAAATTTCTATGAGTGAGATCTAGAGTGAGAAATAGATCAAACAAGGTTTTTTTAGCTTCTGGATAACTCATCTGGATACCACATAACAGGAACACTAAATCCTGAGTGTTTCGGTTTTCATGTTTTTAGGTTCTTCTGTGGCTGCTACAGTTGAGCAACTTGCAGATGTATGCTTTTCAAGTATGAAGGCGTACACATGTCTGTGTGTTTTCTTACATGCATATTCAATCGAAGGCGCGTGAGAAAGAGTGTTTACAGTGTAAACGTGATGATACACAACATTGCTTAAAAAGTTGCCCCATATTATCATTTTAAGATTAGAAAATAGATTAAAAAAAATCCCCAATGGGTCCTCAAAAAGTAAAAAAAAAACATTCATATGTATGTTATAAAACTTCTTAAATAGAATAACAAACATCCTAATTACTTTAAAAGGCCTAACATTTGGGGAGGGACAAAACAGGAATCACAGCCTAATCTGATTTTTAAAATGCAAAAAGTGATGAAGTGAATTAAATAAATAGATTGCTTGTGATTTACTGTTTACGAATTATGACAATGTTTACATTATGCTTATATTGTAATATGTTTCAGATGAGCATATTTTATCGCCAGCAATAGTAACGCATAGACATTTCAAGATCTGGCATATTTTGGGCTTCTTTTAATGAAAATCACACATTATGTATAATTGATTTTACAGTATTGATATTCTGGTCACAGAATTCAACGTAAACGCTTCTGTCTGAGCTGCTCCGTCACAGAAATGAAAGATTAACTCTTTCCCCGCCAGAGGTTTGTTTTTTAAAATTGCCAGCCACCGCCACCATTTTTGATAATTTTTTTCATTAAACTTTCATGGCCCCCAGAATATTTTTAACAATATATCAAAAGAAAGAACATACACTGTAAAAAAATATTGTTGGTTTAACTTAAAAAAGTAAGTAACCTGGTTGCCTTAAAATTTTAAGTTGACTGAACTGGAAAAAGTGAGTTAATACAATGAAGGAGATTGATTTAATCATCAGAAACTCAAAATAATAAGTTATCTGAACTAAATAAATTAATTAAGTTGATTTGACAAAAGAAAAAAATGTTGTGATAACAAATGAAAAAAAAAAACTCTGCTTTTAAACAACAACAAAAACGTGCCTTCTTGCCTTATTTTTTTATCAACTCTTGAAAGTGGGTACATTTCATAAAAAAGCAACATCTTGAACAAAAAGCTACAAAAAATTGTGTGTTTTTTTTTTTTGTCTCAAAGACTACAACATGCATAAGCAATGCTTTTATCACTTGTTTCTGCTGCTTTTCGCCTGCGATTTGTTCAGGAGATTCGGCACTCTTTCAGAAGATGTGTAATAGCGCCCCCGTGAAAACACGGAGGAAAATTCCATCAATGGCGAGGAAAGAGTTGAGAAATTTTTGTAGTATCTGAACACTAATTATCGTTAAATACAGTTTGAAACAGAAATATTAAAAAACCTAGTGTACTTTTTTATTTTAACAACTTAGGCAAATAATAACTATAAATAACTGCTTGTAAATGTCTCCTTGTATTCCTTTATTAAGAAAAAACATAGCACCTTTTTTTAATGCACTCCTACTCTTGTTTTTTAATTTTTCAGATTTTGGATGTGCTCCTTGGGAAAAAACACTGTATACAAAAAACATCTTACAAGTACACAAAATAACTCAAACTTAATCACCGTCTTACTCTTTTTCAGGCAAGACAAACTGAAGATTCACATGCGCAAGCACACCGGCGAGAGGCCCTACATCTGCCTGCACTGCAACTCCAAGTTCGTTCACAACTACGACCTGAAGAACCACTTGCGCATCCACACGGGCGTTCGGCCGTACCAGTGCGAGCATTGCTACAAGAGCTTCACGCGCTCCGACCACCTGCACCGGCACATCAAGCGCCAGAGCTGCCGTGTCTCGCGCCCGCGACGGGGCCGAAAGCCCTCCGCCTGGCGGGCCACCAACTTCCTCTTCCCCCAGGATCCCAACGCCCTCCAAGCCCCTTTGCTGGCTCAGCGGGCTGAGAAACAGCAGCCTCCGGGAGGGAAAACCATGGAGGACGTGGACGACAGCCGTGGACAGACTGACAGGAAGATCATCTCAGAGGACGTGAATAGGAAGCGGGGCGTGTTCGCTTTCGCCATGGCCACGGAAGACGTTCTCCCCCACCCGCCCTTTTATACGGCGCCCTCTGACCCCTGGGCCGTGAGACTGGAACGAGCCCCGCCCATTCCCGAAGCCGCAAAGTGACTTTTCCGTTAATTCCTGAGCTCTGATTGGCTCAGCTTGAAACAGCTGCTCGCTTCGGAGAAGCCTCGGGTTCGGACTCTGTAATATTAAGAATAAAAGAATTACGTTTTTTTTCATTCGTTCGTTCGTTCGTTTCATAAGTCAGCTTCCAATGGGATGACAGGGATTTTAAAAACTTTTTAAATGACTAGATTTGGATGTGCTTTTTTGTTAAAGCTGTTTTTGATGCTTCAGCGTTTGCTAAGTAACAATGGTGATATGCTCATAGACTGTTCAGTGCAATGGAGTATGTGAAAATTGAATGCAAAAAAATTGACAATCAGGTATGCTGAAAGAAAAATACGTCCTGCTGAAATAAGCTACAAGCTTTGATGTTTGCATTGCATTATCTGACAATGGTTCTCTAATGTTTGCAGTAAATCTAAATCCCGAAGACAGGAACAAATTACAAACCTACACATTGTACATCCACTATGCAAAGTACAAAAGTGGTTACATTTCTAGAATTACAACAGAAACCACAAAGACAGATGAATCAGAAAAAGTCTCAGGAATTGGAAAGCATTTTTAACACGCACAAACAATAAAACCTTTTTTACAGCCAAAATAAGATGTCAAACCAATCTGCAGTAACGTGCAAATTAAAAATGCAAGCTATTTTTCTCATAATAACTTTCAGGATTTAAATTATTTATATTGTGCATCTCAATCAACCCCTGATTAAACTGAACGCTCTTGTCTGCAACATTTAAAATGATAATTTGTATAGATGGCTTTCAGGTTCTATGGTGGAATTGTTCATTATCGTAGGTATTTCTATACTGAACATTGTAAAACATCCAAAGATGTGTTGTTAAAGAACAAACTTGAAATCCAATGTTTTAACCTCTTTTGCAAAGCAGTCTTTCTTTTCACGTGTGTCTTGGAGGTACAGGAAACTAATATGGGGGGGACATGTCCACAACCTTTCATATCTGAATGGCTAGAATAATTCAGCATCGTTTAAAACGAAACAAACATATTTTCATGCTATTTATGCATATTTAAATAAGCCTTGGCTATATTTTACTAAGAGGTTTTGTAAGACACTAACACGTTCGTGTTCTGGTTTATCTGAAGAGGGAGCGTGTTTTTCAAGAGAGAATGTGTGTCGAAGCAGTATCTGACATCAAATCCTCAAAACATTTCTGAAATAAAAAGCTTTTATCAAATACAAACTCACACACTGATTTTCCCCTTTAGGACTTTTGTCTAAAACACCCACAAAACACCAGTCTAACAACCCAAGAGCCACCGTACAAGTACTCACGATGACAATTGACATGACAATTTAAAATCTCTGCACTTGACAAAGCATTTAAAATGTTTTTATCTTGGTGTGCAAAATGCAAAGATGTTTCAATGGCCATGTAAAATGAAGGTGCTTAAAGATTTGTATATGTATATATGAAGCCCTTCTGTGGCTACCGGTGGGAACTTACTTGCACTATTTGTTTGATGATGTTTTTAATAATTGGTTACGATATATTGCTTTTTCTTAAAGATTTAAAAACACACAAAAAGAATACAAATACAATACAAAAACTCACAGAACATGTCTGAGATATGCACTTTACTCCTCTTTAACGCAGTAATAAGAGCCCCTAAAGGGACGTGGTGAAGAACAAAAAATGAGATGGGAGAAAGAAATATTACAATGCTTTTGCGCAAAGTTTCTCTGAGGATCGCAAAAAATCATTGAAATATATTTTATCCACCACCATGTCCCTTTAGGGGCTCTTTACAACAACAATTTCAGTGAAAGTCATTTTTATAAATGTGTGTGTTATTTGTATATTAGATTAATCCCTGGGAAAAGGAATTGAATTAATTCAAGAACTGGAATACAATAAAAAAAAAAATTAAAAAAGAAGCTTTTTTTCTTTTTGTGCCCATTGCTTTCTTGGAAATCTGACAAAGGCCAACGCTGAACTTCAGAACTGGATCATTTAGAGAGGCTTTTATCCACAGAGGTCAAGAGCATTAACCGTCTCTTTAGAGTATTTTAACGTTAAGTGCCATACTCAAGAAGACCATGAATTGTTCTCCCTCCTAAACGTCCAGCTTCCTGGATGATGCACCAGCTCTTTAACGGCTAACTTACCTCAACCTAAAATTACTCTGAAATCATAGCATGTGGTAGTTTGTTATGACACAAGGTGGTGAGGATCCGACAGACAGCCCTCTCTGGCACAATTAACCATCTCTGTGAGTAATCTAAACCCACACGCTCTAACTGTGCGTTCATTATGAACCAGTTTCCCAAACACATCCTAATGCTGTCTTACATTATGAAAGGATTTAAAGTACGATCGCCATTTTCCATTTGAATCTCTCTGAGCACCAAGTTTATTCTCACCATTACTTTTAATGTCTGAAATGACTTGCATCGTGTGTTTGCAGTTTTGGATTAGCATCTCAGACTGACTCTTAATTTGAATTGAATGTTTGCACCATAAAAAAAATGTAATTGGTTGATTACAATCTTACAACATTAAAATATTTTAGTCAGAGTAAGCTTAATATTTTGCATTAGATTGCTTTAAATTTAATCTTTAATCTAGTCTTAAGTTGTGACAATGACTCAATGTTTAAGTTGAAAATGGCTCATTCACAATTACACCAAATGAAGTCTTAAAATCATAACCAATTAATGCATTTTATATACCTTTATTTAAATGGCCACCTCTTTCACTGATATCTAGCGCCCTCTAAAGGAAATGAGGATGAGATACACATTAACAAAAGTAAAGTTCTTTTATCTTCAAACACATTTTCACCCCCACTGTTACTCCCTGTACATTCTATACCTTTTGATGTCATTTCTAGTGAGAAATTACAATTAAATATCCGCAGTAATTAAAAAGCTCTCTTGATTTTGCTAAACATATGTTACACTACCTCAGAAGTCCAGTTAGGAAGCATTAATCATTTGAGATTGAGAATCAGGTTACGTTTACACAACAACGATGTGCTACAAACGGAAAAGTTTTTTTTTTCTTAGTACAGATGACAACTTTATCAAAAAAACTTTCACTTTGAAACCTCTTTTCAAAAGTTTGCATTTCAAGCCACCAAAATGTCATTGTTGTGTAATTGAATGGCCAAAACGCATAAAAAGTCTTCCATTGGACAATTACCTTCTCTTTGATTTGGGACTGATTTGCCCCAATAGTTGTGTGTTTTGTTAGGGTGCTTGTAGCTGAAACCCAATCAGATTGCACATGGTAGTCCAGCTCCTCCAGGATGGCACATCAATACAAACCATCGCAATAAGGTTTGGTGTTTCTCCCAGCACAGTTTAAATAGCACAGAGTAGATAGCGGGAGATGAGGAGTTACACAAGGAGACCTGGATAGGGGCAGTGGAAGGGCAACAACCCAGCAGCAGGACCGGTATCAGCAAACACCAGAATTGGCAGTTCTGCCATTGGCACCCCGTTCTCTTCACGAATTAGTGTAGGTTCACACCGAGCACACGTGATAGACGTGAAAAAGTCTGGAGATGCTGTGGGGAACATTATAAGGCCCTGACGTCCCCCTCATGTTGGGGCGCCAATGGCAGACCTGCCAGTTCTGGTGTTCCCTATACCAATCAAGCTGTAAGGTGCTGTGACTGTGTGAGCACAGGTCCCACTAGAGGACATCAGGCCCTCATGCCACCATCATGGAGTCTGTTTCTGACAGTTTGGTCAGAAATATGCACACCAGTAGCTTGCTGGATGTAATTTTCGGGGGCTAGTAGTGCTCCTCCTTTTCCTCCTCGCAGATACTGGTCCAGCTGCTGGGTTGTTTCCCTTCCACGGCCCTGTCCAGCTCTCCTTGCAACATCCCAGAGGTTCTCAATTGAAATACAGGTCTAAGGAACATGAGGGCCAGTCAATAGAATCAACGCCTTCGTGCCAACAAGTAGCCCCACCTATTGTTCAGCCAGGTCTAAGAGGAGATCCTCCAGGACACCATCTGCCATCTCATCAGGAGCATGCCCAGATCTCACCGACGAAAGGTGAGGTTAATTAACTGTACAAGTACTAACAACATGCACTTAGAGTTAATTAACCTCATCTTTCGTTGGTGAAATTGAGTTAAGCCTAGAACTGCCAAGGCCTCCATCCACGACGATTCTGTTGATTTTGTAATGCAAATGTTTACTTCTTGCCTTTCAACTTGCACGTTTACTTACTTTCTTTGAATCGTTATTTTGAACCGGATCTTCCGGGCGAACTGATATAGGTATTTACGCATTTGAAATTCGTTTGCAAAAGAACTTGGGATTGGGAGTAAAACTTTGTTGGCCACGTGTAGAAGGCCTACAAGGCAATGTTTGAAAAAAACGTGGTCATAAACAATAGTATTTCAATATTTTTAAAACCAAAATGTGAATAATTAACATGTCTAAAGCAAAAAGGCAACCCCATCAAGAGGATAGTTCACCCAAAAATGCTAATTCTGTCTTAATTTACTCACCCTCAATCGTGTTGTTCCCGGGTTTGTGCCAAACCAGCACCTTCTTCAGAAGACAATGGAGATATATTTTTTGATGAAATCCGAGAGCTTTCTTTCCCTCCATTGACAGTATCGTTATATGCAACTACCACTTTGACGCTTCAAAAATGTCATAAAAATATCCTACAATTAATCCATATTGAGTGGTTTGCTAGTCCAAGTTTTTTGAAGACTCGATCGCGATGAGCAGATTTAATGACATAATTTTCTCTTTTGGTCAGTGAACAAAAACTTCTTAGGTTAACTTCGTTCTCTTTATCTTAAATCACACTATTTAACGTTACTCATTTAATTATAAACTATAATTTAGTAAAGAGGTCTGTAAACTAGTCATCAAATACGAAATGACTGTTAATTTTTAAACTACACTAACGCGCGGCTTTCTGTGGAAGAAGAATTTGTATGTTTTCCAAACGACGTTTAACCTTGGCGTCATAACTTGAATTTATCTGAACACACATTTTAGCATAACATTTATAAAAACAATAAAAAAAAAAATAAAAAAAACACTTAAGAGAGCATTCATAGAACGTTATTTGGTAAAATAAATAAATAAATAAATAACCACAAGGGAGCGTTAGGGTTTCGTGTTTGCTGGCCCGGGTAACATATAAACAAACCAGCAATCACTTAAAGTAATTGAAGTTAGATTATTTTTAAAAAGGTAATTTATGTATTGAGTTTCATTAGGATTAAACCAAATGAAACTCAATATAAAATATCCCCAGCATATTTACACATTGTTTTATTTGACCAAACACCAAATGAAGAGACAGTACAAAGATCTAATTGCAATCCAATTAAGGAGCAAAAAGATTACTTGTCATCCATCAGTATAGAAAGGTCAAGTTAACTTAATGGCACTGTGGGCTGCTACACTAAAAGACAGTGTGCTTTGTTACATACTGCAGATTTAGCAAATACACCAAGTATTCTAAGAATATAGAAAAGTTGCATTGATTTTGCATTGTATAACATAGTATATAATTCATCAATTATAAGGCTAGAACAGAAGTACACTACTTCAAACACAACCTGACTGAAAATCAAATCATGAATAGAAAAAATCATAAGTAGTTTCCATAATACTTAGTTGCTTTATCCACCTTATTTTAACTTGAATTGCAAGGCTTTTGGCATCAGCCGTTTCCAATAATTGGAGTGGAGCAAAAGCAAACCATTTAGCTACAAACTGGGTATTGATAAGAAACCCATTGGTTTGGCATGCCTGGCATCCTTCAGCAATAAATACTTATTTGGCTAATGAATTAGAAGTATTGCACTTTCCAAATGCTTGTTAGAAGAAAAGTTGGATACAGTTTAGCAGTTGCTATGCATGCAAAGTGTTTTTTTTTTTTTTTACATGTATGTAAAAGTTTAATACAAGAGCTCGAGTGATGGCTAATGCCAAATTAAGGGTTTTGAAAGCAAAATGTGTTAAATTGTCACAGCACGAGTCATGATTAAAACAATTAACATTAATGTTATCCAGTAAACAAGAACACTTCCAAAAAAACTTACAAGTCATTTATTTTTACCAAAAACACTATAGGAGCAATGCGACTATGGCCGCTGGCAAATATACTAATTGACAAACGTAAGCAATATAACTGAAAAGGCAAATCAAAAACAGTTTTAAAATCAAAGCTAACAAAAGTGGAAAAACTTCCAGTCACTATTAGACATTACCCAAAAACGCTGACATTCACTAGACTCTGGTTTTTAAAAGACTCTCTCCAACACTACGCAACAGGATAAGCATAGTAAGCATCTGGAAACATTGAGAAAAATGTACTCAAAATTGTTTTATTTCAAAAGCTCTGGCAGCTCCCGAACCTCATGTGGCAAATCCAGTAGACATGTAAAATACAACCATACAATACATTATTCAAAAAAGGTACCAAAAAGTACAGTAAAAATAACACTTCCATTTCTGGAAATGTGGACAAAAGGAAAATAAAATTAAAATAAAAATGTGGAAGTGTGACTTTGCTTCCCCTATTCATCGGTTCTGTACAAATGGGTCATGATCTTGTCCGGTTAAAGGAAAGAGTCTGCATGTGTGTGTGAACTGTTGTCGGCGTCACCGTCAGACTCATGGTTTTTGGGAATACGTCAGTCTGTGTAGAAATGGACACATGTGGTCAGTAGCAACATAAAGGTTAGAAAACATCAAGACAGACAAATGCAAGACACCTGGTCATTGGTTGTACATTTTACAAAAAAATAAATAAAAACGCATATGCTACCTGTTCTGCATGTGATCAGTATGGTTTGTAGCTACTCTGGTGGCCGCGTCTCGGTGTCTTTCCGTAACTCGCGCTGCCTTGGCCTGGGAAAAAAAAAACAATGTGTAACTGAGTGAACATTGAAGAGACACGAAACGATCATAAAAAGCATCTGGAAGATGCAAACTTACTGTAGTCATAACCACCACCATATCCATAATATGGAGAGGAATAGTCGTAGCTGCCATAGCCACCGTAACCACCATATCCCTGCTGGCCACCGTAACCGCCATAGCCTTGGTTCCCATAGCCCTGGTTCCAGTAGCTGTTATATCCCTGGTTCCAGTTCTGGTTTTGGCCTGAGGAAACAGATGTTGCAAGTTTAGACGGACTTTAATAACGATGCCATTGCTGAAACGCTCATAAAAGGGTCCGCTTACCCCCACGACCCCTGCCGCGACCACCTCCGAATCCTCCGCGGGCACCGTACTGCTGCTGCTGGTAGATCTCCTTGGGCTGGGCGATTTTGATCTCGCACTGATATCAGAGACAAAACAGATGAGAGCAGAGCCATGACTGCAACAGGCCGAAATAAAACGTATATGCAATAAGCCAACAACAGTTGTAATCAAGCAACTGTGCACACCCACAAATCGACTTCATTTACCCACCATAACCATGCATCTATTGCAAAAGTATGAAAGAATAAAAATATACATACAAGGTCTTCCTCTCCATTCGTTACCTTGCTTCCGCTAACGTTATGGTATTTCTTCTCAACTATCTTTTTGACAGCAGATTCTTCCTTGAAGGTGATGAAGACAAAACCTCTCCTTTTGTTTGTTTTTGGATCCGTTGGAAGTTCAATATTTTCCATCTGCAAGCATAATCGATAAAACATTAAAACTGGTAGACAAGTTAATATTAAACTTTTTATACTCAGTAAAAACTCACCTCTCCAAAGGCCCCAAAGTATTCACGGATCTTCTCTTCTGCAGTTTCAGGGTTAAGGCCACCAACAAATATTTTCTTGACCGGCTCTTTCTTCATGGCCATGGCTTTCTTGGGATCGATCTGTCGGCCATCTAGTCTGTGTTCCTTTTGCTGTAGCACCTTTTAAAAAGAAAACAAAACGTTGTAAAAATCTGCCATCCAATAAGTATTTGTACGGGAGTGAAGCAAAAGCATCCATACCTTATCCACACTTTCTGCTTCTTTGAACAAGATGAATCCAAACCCTCGTGACCGGCCGGTGTTTGAATCCATCTTTATGGTGCAGTCTGTCACCTCGCCGAACTTTGAGAAGTAATCCTTTAGATCTTTCTTACTGGTGTCCCAGCTGAGTCCTCCAACAAACATTTTACTGCATAAAGAAAAATATATATTTTTTAAATTAGACCCTGCATTAAAGCACAAACAAAAAGCAAGCTCATAGCATCATAGAGTACCATAACTGTAAGTCAGATTCAGGAAGAAAAATGTACTTGAAATGCCACCATTGAACAGTTTTTTAATGTTAAACAAACTATATTACTCTAATGGGTGGATATTACTCTGCAGAATCATGGGTAATGTAATCAAGTATCTAAACACAGACAAGTCTCAACTTCTATTTGTACAAAAAAAAAAAAATCATTTGTTAATTTTCAGTTTTAAATTGTTAATTTGGTTCACTCTTGAATAGTAAAAAAAAAAAAAAAAAATCCCTATGGAAAAAAATTGAATGCTTCCGGATATCCAGAGCTGCTTAAAGTGGGCGGGCACTAACATAGATGCATGTGCCAAATTGTAAAGTCTGATTGGACATGCCAGTGTCCACACAAACTACATTAGGGACCGTTTCCAGGCAACCATATACAACTTTGCCAAAATATTTTACCACGCAGAACTGGGTTTCCCATAGTTAAGGTTTGAAGCAAGGAATGCCACTTAAAGGCATAGTTGACCTAAATGAATATTACCATCATTTACACACTCAAGTTGTTAAAAAAGCTGTAGGAGTCTGTCTATTTAGAACATTCTTCAGAAGACCACCGGTTTGGAAAAACTTGAGTGAGAAAATAGCAACTCCTTTTTAAGTGAACTATCCCTTTAAAACGGCAGTTTGGTGATTTTACCGCGGTAACTTTAGATCGTGTACAGGCCGATATAATAGCTGCCACCCGCCAGCGTGAGTTTCGAGCCTGCTAAACAACCCTTATCTCCAACAATGAGCACAACACCGGGCATTAAACCACCCCACCCCCCTCTATTAACAAAGACACATGGCGCCAAGCAACTTGACTTAAAACACACGGTCTACATTAAGCATGAAAACGCAATTAAATCAGTTTTCTTACCCAGCATCTTCCTCTCCCTTGCTGGCGTCGATCTGTCCTCCATCACCGTTCTCCTCATCCTCCACCGCGGCCCCTTCCGCGAGCTCCGCTCCGTTCACATCCTCCTCGTTCCCGTTCTCGGAGGTCTCCATAAACTGCTGCTCTGCGTCGGCCATTTTAGTCTCTTTTGATCACCTTTGGATTACAAATGATTAAGGTTTAGTTCGCGGTGTGAAATAAGAGGGACGGTGCCAGAATAATAGAGTAGCGAGCAACACGGTTAACCCTACGCCATTAGATTTAGCGCACAAAAGCTCGATTTCAGGTCTTAGCTTACTAAATGCACAAGAAAACAAATGGAATCAGGTACGAAACCGTGTTAGAAGCGTATAAAAACGCGTCTGTCTTCTGAAAACAAAACAAAAAACAAAAGATACATTCAGGCCGTTTGCAGAAAGCTAAAGAAGCATGCAAAGCTAAACGAGCTAACGCTACACGATCTCATCTAGAGTCGTTTCCAGGTACGCAGAACGCATAAACAAGCTTTTTCATCTAATATTCTGTTTTACGTATAGTCTCGTTAAATATACTTTAGCAGAACTCGAGAAGCATGCGAAATTAAATTAACCGGCTTACTGTAAAATATTGGCGCTGAAAAGCCGCTTTCCAAGATGGACTCTCGCGTACAGTACCAACTCGTGGCCAGTTTTATAGCACCGGATGAGCTCGTTTGAATAAAACAAGCTGTGACTGGATGACTGGGAGTGACCAGGCAATGATAACGTTCTTTGATTGGCCAGTGACTGTAAAAGCCCCGCCCCGTTATGGTTTCCTCTTGCGCACTTCTTTTCAGCTCAAACGCTTTAGCACGAGATGTTCAAAGCGCGTGCACGATAAAACACGATAGTGAGAGCGTTGTGCAATCAAACACAATGGATACCAGCGTGTACAATACAATACCATATATAATATATGAGGGTTTTTTATACATTGGTTAGGCTTCCCAATTAATTTTATTAATTTCCCCCCTCCTCGTCGATGAAGGACTGCGCGAATTTCTAGTCTTAAATATTTTAAAGCCGAGCATAACAAGCAGAATATGTTCACTTTCGCCTTTTTCACGAACCTTTCAATCCTAGAAAATCTCGATTTAAAATTCCCTGATATTTCTTGTTTTAGTTTTTTCTTTAATATTGGAACAGTTTCAATGTAAGAGTTAAACGGTTTGGGGTTTTTTGTAAACGCTGTTTCTTTTTGAACAATAGCTTTGTGGATATTATTCAGTATGTCACTATTACTATCGTTATAACATATCCTTAAAGCATACATTTTCTATAGACACCCTTTGCGTGTTATATGTATTTTCTTTTGCCACAGTCACTACATGTTGCATATGTGTGCTTTAATTTGATCAGACTTTAAATTGATGCTGCTTATAAGCTGTATTCAGCTCCCCAAATAAAAACAAAAAAAAGTGAGGGTAAAAGAAACTCCCAGACCTAAAGTGTGTCATGGTGTGATTTTATAGCACTGAACAAAAACACTTATATCTTTAACTCAGAAAAATCAGCAACAATTTATGCAAGAAACAATCAGACAGAAAGTATCTGAAATTGTCAATGCTTTGCTCATTCAAACATAAACAAGATGCATCCTATAGTTGCTGAAGTATTAACAGAATCCAGCCTTTCCTTTTTACCCAATTAAACTGTTCAACAAAAAGTCCCTCATAAAACAGCCTCATCAAGTAGATCAATATGGCATGAAATCATGAGTAATATAATGTTGTTTATTATAACAAAGAGAACAGCTGAATTGCACTCATTTAGTACAACAAACTGCCGGTATTAACACAAAAGAAAAACAAGAACAGGGTCCCTTTCATCATTTCATCATTTATTTGTTATCAAAGTTTTCCATGTTGTATTCTGCTCTTGGAATTGACATCTTTATCGGGTTCCGACGGTCACCTGCCAAACTCTGATCAGGTTGTCTGTGTATCCAGCAAAGAGAGTCTGAGGAAAAAAAAAAATGTAATTAATGAAACCTTTTTGTTTGTCCACGGGTTTATATTTAGGTTTATCCACTGCACTCATACTCAATGCCACAAATCACCCAGAGATCCACCACCCGAACCGATGCTGATTATCTGCAAAGTAACCTCATCACACACAACAAAGGGATTTTCACACATAGTGCGAATAAACCGCGCGAATGTACGTGGGGATGACACTCTTGAATTGAAACAATGGATCCCGATGGAGCCGTTCACACCGGGCGTCATCAGTCGCAGCGAGACAAAGCAAGATGTTTTCCCTCCTCAGGCAGCGCTGAAACTAACGGTCCAATTATATCCGAGTTTACAAAAATGAGAGAGGTGGCGCTGTTTTGAAAACCACTGTGAACACCGAAGAAAAGTATTCAGAACAGAGAAGAAAATGGATTTTAAGTGTTATCATTGGTGTCTGAGAACAGATTTATTCTTACATGTTCCTTATAGACCATTTGACAAGTTGTAAACAACACTGGTCCAGAAACACTTCCTGTTTCAGTTTGTAAATGTTTTCTTTATTTCACATGTAAAGAAAACATCTTAAAGATGTTTGTTTAACTTTTTGATTCAGTTTTAAATGTTCTGTTGGTTGTATTTTATCCCAGCTTTTATGTGTGTACAGGAAGTGCTTCTGGACCAGTGTTTACATCTTGTGAAATGGTCTATACCGATATTATTTCTATTTATTTTCCACTAAATTATGCGATATGTAGAGCTTGAAACTGCATACGGAGCGCCATTTTCTTCCCTGTGTGTCATGCGCTCTCTGACTCATTCGCTCTAGAGCTGTCAGTCATATTATGTGATCAATCATAACTCCTGCCTTTAATTCCGAAGGACGACGTTGTGTTAATTCCCTCATTCCACACACAAACAACTGAGATCAACGTTTCTATAGATGAAACATGAATCCAAATAAACATTATGTACGTGTTTTTCATGCAGCTCAAGGTATTTTTATAACAATTAAGAATGAGAAATGCTAAGATGATGTAGCGTTCAGTTTGTTATAAAACATGTCTGCTCATTATTTAAATCAAATGAATCACATCGCAGTCTGAAGTTATTACACGCACACAATGGTGGTTTCTGTGTTTTACCAAACTTGATTTGTCTTTATTTTCTGTTGTTTGTTGTGCAATGTACAAAGAAATTCTACGAGACAAACACATGAGGAAATATGTATTCTCGGTCAGCGCCAACTATCGCGCAGGTGTGAATTAGCTGAAGGCTATCAATCGCTTCACGTCCTGTGTGAAAGGGCCTGTGGGAAACTCTTACCTGTCCATCAGCAGACCAGGCCAAAGATGTGCACTGGGGCGGCTCAGCCTTGCTGTTAGTGGTGATGACTTCCTGTCTGAGTTCATCCACAATGATCTTTCCCTCCAAATCCTGAAGAGAGAGAGAGCCAAAGATTTGAAAGCCAAAGATTAATCTTCACATTCATTCAAGTAGATACAAAATGCTTATTGCAAATAAAAATGTATTTTAAAATCAGTGTTTCCGCACAGTTTTATGCTAAATGCCTATTAGTGTCTGATATTTAATATTTTTATATAAGGTTTATATAGATGTTATATGACTAACTTTAAGAGGTGGAAAATTAAAGGGTTAGTTCACCCAAAAATGAAAATTCTGTCAGTATTTATGTATTTTTTCCTACTATGGTAGTCAATGGGGAATGAGATCTGTTTGATTAAAAAATTCTTCCAAATATCTTCCTTTGCGTTCAGCAGAACAAATAAACACAGAGGTTTGGAACAACATGAGGGCGAGTAAATACTGACAGAATTTTCATTTTTGGGTGAACTAACCCTTTAATCATTTAACAAGAGTACATTTTTTAAAAATTGACAGTGTAAACAAATCAACCAAAATTAATTGAACTTGACAAACTGTCTTTTTTTAATTGTAACATATTGCAATGCCTTCCAGAGTTGATTTTCAGTGGACACACAAATTAATCGATAAATAAAAGTCAATATATGAAATGGACGATTTTAACTGATTCACCGTTACCTGATACAATTATTTACTGCAGGGGGACTTTATTAAGTGCTGACACAAATGAAATGGACAATTCAACTCATTCACTAAATTGAATTGAACTTACCAATACCATTTACTAATGCAATCCTTCATCAATTTTAAATTTAACATATTCCAATGATTTTCAATGTTGATGAATTGAAATCACCAATCTAAAGCACCAGTCGACCATTATGTGTTTTTCAACGAATGGGACCTCTAAAGCCAATATAAAAATGGCAAATACTGATTGACCGTTCAGCGTCACAAAGTTCACAAACTACATGCATATCTGAAGCAGAGACTGCTGACCCAATCCAGCCAAAAACATGTTTTGATGTAAAAAGGACAGAAAGCTGATCGTACCCAGATCTTGATGCTCGGCCCAGTGGCAGCACACAGCCAGTATCTGTTGGGACTGAAGCAGAGAGCGTTGATCACGTCACCACCGTCCAGCGTGTAGAGATGCTTGCCTTCGTTTAGATCCCAAAGCATGGCCTGTCCATCCTGAAAACAGAGACACAGGGAACGTCAAACCCCCACATCATTTATAAACTCATCAGCATAATGAGGGCACAGGAAAATCAAATCCCTGGAAAATCAAAGTGAAAATCAATCATTAGCCTCACAGGTTAAGCTTCAATGTTAGTTGGCAGTGTTATGTCTTTAAAAGATCATCCTCATACTTAAAATTGGACCCCAATCCAACATTTCTAAAGGCAGCTATATAGTTTCATAAATGGACCCAATTTATACTGTAAAGAAAAAACATCTAGGCTATATTATAAATGAGTAAAATATTATTTTGATATTTCATTTACGTTATGCTAGATTACGGTTTTTATTTTAATCAATTTATTATTTATTTATTTTTATATGTAAAAAGACCCCATAAAAAAAAAATAATAATATAATATATATATATATATATATATATATATATATATATAAAAGGAAAATATTTGGTTTCTGTTATGCTAGATTATTATGTCCTTTTATTAATTTAAATGCATTTAAAAATGTATTTATTTGAATTTTTTTATTATACATGTATTTTTGTAAAAAAAAAATTACACCACTGTTCACTATACTCCCTCTCTGTCCCTCAGTTTGAAAACCCCTTGCGTGTACATTTTGATGAAGTTCAACAGGCCCTACGTTCAGATTAGGACCACAAACAGTGAAACTGACCTTTCCTCCAGATGCACAGAGGGAACCATCGGGGGACACCGTGACGGTGTTCAGGAATCCTGTGTGACCGATGTGATTGGTCTTCAGCTTGCAGTTGGCCAGATTCCACACCTGAAACAAACAAAACACTATCAGTGAAAAGTCACTGCAAAGGGACATGGTGATGGTAAAAAAAGGCAAAAAATATAAGATGAAAATATGCTGTTATTATAGCCATATTTTTCTGTAAAGCTGCTTAAAAACAATTTGGATTGTGAAAAGCTCTATATAAATGAAACAAACTTGAGCTCAACACTGCTTAATTCTCACCTTCACCATCTTGTCCCAGCCGCAGGAGACGATAATGGGGTTACTGCTGTTCGGGGAGAACCGGACACAGGACACCCACTCGGTGTGACTCTCGTCCTGAGGAACAACACAGACATCTCAGCGTGGGTCGATCAGACATCAGCTCAGATAACAGATTTAACCCTGTCACGCCTGTCGCATACTGAATAAAAGTCTAGAAAAAAAACTTTTTTTTTCTTTTTTTTTTAAATGGAGCCATTTATTATACCTTAAGAAAAAATAAGAAAAAAGTTTTTGTTGAGTATCATATTTGATGTATCTTGTTTTTATGGCTCGTATAATTTTGTTCAGAGGCTCAAACTGAGCAAAAATATGCAGTTTAGAGCAGATACTGACTAAGTCTGATAGCTTGTAATGTAAAACATTGAAAGTCTTATTAGAGTATAATAGACTTACATAGATTGCGTATAAATTGCGCCGATTGATCAGCGCATTACCGGAACCGGATGGTTTTCAAGTGATTGGCCATGATCGGCGACTGGCCAGTTAGTCTGACATATGCCGATTTTATGGCGGTCAAAATGCACTCGGCCAACGCATGATTGATTTAACATCGCGCAACATCAGCATCACCTGTGCACACGGAACGCACATGTAGGAAATCTTGCGAATTACGGCTGTTTCACACCGCAAGCGCGAGTGGCGGCCATTTTTTTTGGCATGCATGTTAAAGTCCCTGTAAAGGCAATTCTACAAAAAAATTCTTAACACATTAGATATGTTACAAATGTATTGCTAAAACATATTACAAAGACTGTGAACAGTGAAGTACTGAAATGTGCAGTTAAACAGTTTTTCACCATTGCTATTTTCTGGATTTTTGGGGCGGGGCTAAAACAGGGGTCGATGAGGCCACCGCAAGTTTTTATAAATCTATAAATGTATAAGGTGTTTTATAAATAAAAAAAATATAAAAAATAAATATTTGTGTTATTGAAGATAAAAAAGTGATTAGAAAAAAATTAAATCTGTACCGGCACGTCAAACTCAATGAAAATCGGTCAAGAAAATTGTAATCGGTGCATCTCTAGTAAAAATATCAGTTATTACTCTGTCTACATCTGGCAATAAGTCTTAATAAGATATTAAATGTTTAGTATTATGATCAAAGCTTTGTAGTTTTAAATCATATAATCCAATATATTACAATGATGATTGAGAGAAGAAATAAACAAAAGCCTGATGATGATCATATTTGACACCGTGTCCTAACTACACGCGACGCCGCCACACGTGATAAAAGGTATCTTTTCCATGTTAATCAGAGTTTTTGCCCTAACCAGACGCGACGGCGACACGCAAAGTTTCTAATTTAGAAACGGTTCCTATTTCTGCAACGTCACGGCTGACAGAATGATGAAATTACACTGGTTATGAGTATACATTATTTATTTCTAGTTAAAAATAGGTCACTGTGCCAAAAGCGATAACGGATAATTTACCTCAGATTTTGAAAGCATGTAATATAGCGTTCAAAATGAATTCTATGCAAACATACAACTGTACTTTGTAACAAAATTAGTCAATGAGTATATTTTTTTAATGTTTAGATTTTTAATAATGTTATTTCTTGATTTGATTAGGTCCTTACCCATTTCCAATGCGAGTGCGGGCCAACAGTGTGCTTTCACAGAGAGACTCCGCCCACACGCTGTTCTGAATGTGTGGCGTCTCACAGTCGCGTCGCGTCTAGTGTGGACAGCTGTCGCTGGAATTTTATCGCGTTGCATGTAGTTAGGACACGGTGTCGGACTCAATTATTTTTAAAAATGGATATATGGATAATCAAGTAAACCTATATTGCGTGTTCATCTAGAAATATTACTATATAAAAGTTATGTTTATGTTCACAGCAAAAAGACAGGCGAACCATGAGCTGAAGGTGGACATTTTTACAGTTACACTAATTGTACAGTTTCACTTTTTTTTTAACTATCAACCAAACGACAGAAGGCATGCAGTAGATTGTGTGCAACAGGTTTGATCATGCATCATTCATAGCCCTTATAAAAATTGCATTTGAAATATGATGCGGAAGGCTTTATAGGGGCAAGTCACTGATCAGGCTGAGATATCACTGCTAACCCAGACCAACACTCTGACAAACCCACGTTTATCTCACCTGGATGGTGTACTTGCAGACGCCCAGGGTGTTCCACAGCTTGATGGTCTTGTCCCGAGAGCCGGACACGATCTGACGGTTATCAGCGGAGAACGCCACGCTCAGCACATCTTTGGTGTGGCCCACAAAACGACGGGTCGTGGTTCCACTAAAACAACATTTGAAGAGCAAAAGGTCACAAACAATAGCCTGGGTTTCCCCATGCTGCCGATTTTATTCACGCTGCTAGGCAGCCTGGACACCATGAACCAAATTTTCGTCTGAGATAGGGAACCAATCACAGAACGCGGAGGGCAGCAAGACGATGACGACATATAAGCGACACACCGAAGCAGTTTGTTTATATCCATGGACCCATCTTGGCAGCGGACGCGAAGTTACCTTTTGATACAGCCTTTGTGTATACTTAAATCTTTTAAATCCCTGACCCATCGTCTTCTTCCTCATCTAATTTTCTGCCGCTCAATATTCGTCATCTGGTATCATTGAACCGATTGGCTATGAGCTAAGTACAGGCGCATTTGATAGACATTCGTAGCACCCAATAATACGGCTCTGGGCATTCATACATCTATGCCTCAAATACGAGAAAAAAAACATGTGGTTTCCAGACCGCGTCTCATTCTCAATGACACGTGGTCTGGCGTTAGCCAGGCTACACAAACAATGCAGACAGTCTCAATAATATTGTTGAATATAAAGTGTCCTCAACAGAGCAAGCCAGAGGAGACAGTGGCAAGAAACCCAAATCCATCAGGAGACAGAATGGAGGAATTATGGGCAGTATTACGGGTCATAAGTCAGACTGGATCAGAAAACTCAAAATATTGAATCCAGTTCCATCTGGCTGAAGACAGATTTAGTTGAGGATCCATCAAAACGACATTTTGTTTTTTAACTTCAAAATAAAATGGACAGAGCTTGAAAGCTGAGACTTTTTGTTTCATATCAGAAGAAACAAGGCACAAACTCTTTGAAGGGGTGGTAAAACGCCATTTTCACTAGATGTAAAATAAGTCTCTGATGTCCCAGAGTGTGTGTGTGAAGTTTTAGCAGAAAATACCCCCAGATATTTTTATATAGCATGGTAAAGTTGTCACTTTGTGAGGGTTTGCAAAAATGCACCGTTTTGTGCCTGGCCCTTTAAATGTAAATGAGCTGCTGCAGAGGGCGGGGTTTCAAGAGCTCACGCGTTTTAGCAGCTGCGATTCCCTCACGAAAACACACTTAAATGACAGAAACTGTTCTCCCTTTAATGTTAAAACGGAGTCAGTCAAAGATGGAGAGACTCAAAAAGAAGTGACATGTAGAATGCAACAGGACGTCTCTAAATGGTTAGCTGATGGATTTATTTTGCTGATGTGGAGTTAACTATCTTCAATTAGCATATTCTGTCATGATAATCTATAAATCGCACGTATAGGAACTGTTGTGAGATGCACACAGAGTGACTTTCTATTGCATGTGAAAAAATGGATGCTAAAGTTTGAGCTGACTCACAAATGTACTCTTATACAACCACCCTTCCTCTTCTCAATATGGAGGGGGGCGGGGTTTATGTACATTTTGGGGTTTGCCGATGTCACTAACCCTGGAGGAATGTTGTGTAGTCCCTACCAGCCGTTTGTTGTGGTCCTTTTCTTTAAAAGCAAATATCTTCCTTTGCTTGAGCGTTGTAACTTTGATAATGTTGTTTATGCTCAAACAGCAACATTACACACTAACTAAAGCTAGAAAAGTGAAATTATACTTTACCACCCCTTTGAGATTATTTGATGGGAAAAAACGCAGACTTGGCAACCCTAACTTGAACTATCAGTGATTCACAGGGTCCAAAAGAGACACTATATAAATGTGACGAATACAAAATAAACAGGACCAACAATCAAACATAAGTCAATTTTAATAACTCCAGTCTGTGTGTGTGTAAAAGTAAGTATGATATCACTGTTATTAAGGTCCTTGCATAATAAATGAAAAATCACATTTGACCACCGTGGTCCCACTTTATATTAAGTGGCTTTAAGTACTATGTACTTACATTGAAATTAATAATTTGATACAATGGACTTATTGTGTACATACATGTTTTTACATTGTACTTACATTTTAAAATTCCAGCATGTAATTGCAGCTGTAATTAATTTATGTAATTACATTTATAATTACACAGTTGACCCTCCCCTCACACCTTAACCTACCCTTAAACCTACCCATACCACCACACCTGTCCCTAACCTTACCCGTATCACACCTCAATAGCAGCAATAGTGTTTTACAATACAACAGGAACACAATAATACATTGTACTTATTGTTCAATGTAAGTACATAGTACTTAAAGCCACTTAATATAAAGTGGGACCCACACCGCCTTTGAAACTTTCGTTCGCCATAAAAAAATTCCGAGCGGGTTCGATTTCCTGTGTTTTCCGTATCCGTGCCAAGCATTTTGAAAGTGTTTTGACAACTCAGAGCCAACGAAGGACCTTTAATGCATTATTGTAGTTATCCTGCCCAAAATTCAACACATGAGAGATTTTATTCACACACAGCGACACGTTTTTATGCCCACTTTTGATTGACAGGATATAATCTGCCCTGATCATCAGCTGTTTTTAGCTTTTATCAGCCGATAAATCTCGACACCCTCGTACTCACGTGGTGAGGTCCCACAGACGCAGCGTCCCGTCCCAAGAGCCGGACAGCGCAAACTGACCATCTGATGAGATGACCACATCGCTCACGAAGTGTGAGTGTCCGCGCAGGGCTCGCTGAGGAATACCGTAGTTGGTCTCATCACGGGTGAGTTTCCACATGATGACGGTCTTATCTAGAGGAACAAACATCAAGATATTAGAACGACTAGAAGTCAAACAGTATTTCAGTTCAACAAAAATCAAAACGCATCATTAACCGCATTTTCATTAACAATAAACCCAACTAGAACTAATGGCAGATATCATGCATTTGAATGCAATTATTAAATAGGTTAATGCCATATGAACACTTATTCACATTTAGGGCAGAACTGTCATTTAATGTTGGCTAAACTTTTTTTTTTACACATCATATAATAACAGTAAAATATGCATAACTACAAGCAACTAACAGTAAACACATTTGATAAAAACAACTTTTGTGTACAATGACAATACCATGCTATTATCCATCACAGTAAAGTCACTTTTCTGTAAGAAAGGTAGAACTTTGCAACTTTTCCTTTTCCTGAAAAGTACTATGGTACTACCACCAGAGTCATGGTTTCGTTGTAATACCATGTTTTGAACACACACCATGGTAAATGAACATTGTAATCATTCAGCAGCACTATATATATGTATATAACGTTATATGTATACGCCCATGGTATTATCATCGGGTTGTATTATCATTGTACTATAGTACCACTTGTACACTTGTTATTCGCGCTAACTGCCGTCAGACAGCTGTGGTTGAGCGGTAAACTGTGTGTATCTGTCACCTCGGGACGCGGACAGAATCATGTCTGGAAACTGCGGGGTCGTGGCGATCTGGGTCACCCAGCCGTTGTGGCCCTTCAGGGTCCCTCTCACGGTCATCTGCTCGGTCATCTCGGCGCTCGGTACCGGTCGATGGCTGTAGATTGAGTTGGACGGACTGAAACGCCGCTTCACTCAAGTTAACAGCACAGGAAAAGGACAGGCTCCACGCCGGAAGTACATATTCATGCCTGAGCAGAGACGACGCAGTGCCTTGTAGGAGTTGTAGTGCGAATGCAGCACATTGAAGTTGTTTTTATTCTTATTTAATTATTTAAGTAAAATAATAAAAATAAAAGATTCATTTCACAACATTATTCGCAACCATACCATAAACATCAAATTTGGAATCGCCGTTTTTTTTTATAAATAATAGCAATAATTTGATAACAAATTTATATTATAATACAATTAAACAAAACATTATAATAAATAACAATAATAATATACAAACAAATTTCTATATGTACAAAGACTGTATATAATATATTGTATAGTTGACTGGGGTCATAATCATCAAAAACAATGTACATCCTCTTCTATTACTAAAATACATTCAGAACTGGTGATTTCGCTTTTTTGTCAACTCCTATTTCCGAGTTGTCCGTTTTCTGAGAAGCACGGGCAGAAAAAAATAACATTTGTTTCCGCCCGGTTTCGAACCGGGGACCTTTCGCGTGTGAGGCGAACGTGATAACCACTACACTACGGAAACCTGCGTAGACACAAAAACCTGACTGCAAATTTTTGACTTTTCGCATTTGCTATGATACGTCTCCATCTAGTGGTGGCTGATAGAAAGTACATGTACTTGCGAAGAATGCGGAAGTTCAAACAAAATCCACAAGATGTCGCTCAAAATCAACATTGTCTCCAAAAAGTATTTTAGACGATCCAGTCACATTAAAAATGTCATTGTACAAAACATAAATCGATGAACATGTTTGAAAGAGAACACATTTAAAACGAAACATTTAAAAAAGCAGATTGTTGGGTTTGAAAGGATGAAATAATAGGTATATGTCGAAACCGAAGAAGAGTATGCCATGGTATAGTAGCACACCATCAGATAAAGGCCCCTCTTGCAGCTTTTTATATCCAGTCAGCCCTAATATAATTCGGCAGGCCTATAAATGTTTCAGGGGAGATGCTTTTGTCTTTGCCCATGAAACAAAGCAGTCAGCAGAGGGGAGAGCCAGGCCAGCACATCTGCGCTCAGATGGAGAGTTTGGGTCTCTTGGCCCCCCTGAATCCAAACCACATCCCTTTCATGAGCTGGTCTGGCTCCCGACTCCAGCTCCCCGCTCAGGGTGGCTCCTGCCTCGAGAACTAATATACTGCAGCCGCAGGCCTTCTCGAACGCTCACAGATCTTCTCCTCCTCTTCCTGGCTTTCTATTTTGATACCAGAAAAACTCAGACTGGTTTTACCTCAAACTCTCTGACTACTAGGCCATCTGCTAGGCCAATAAATTCAAATTTAAAATGTTTTTGAAAACTATAAAATAATATCTCAATGATACTTATATAACAACTCAATACTAGCAACAAAATTCATATGGGTGTTATTTCTGTGACGTGCATTTCAACATAAAATTAAATTAGAAAGGAAACGGAAGTTGAGCTCGTCTTTTCTTCCCTTTTGTGATGTCAGTGAAGCACGACTCTTCACACTGATATGAGTTTCATAAGCTCATGTACACAAAGGTACAAAAAAGTATTTTTTATTATTTTTTATTATTATTATTTATGCAGTAATAACAAAAACAAATCAAGACAGAAATATACATTACAACAATACATTCCACAAACATAAATAGGCCTAACATTAAACAAGCTTAAATGATTGACACCATTTCAGAGTTCATATCTTTCTTAAAAATATAGGAGTTTTCTTTGAAAATTTACACTTCTGAATATAAAATTTGGCAAGAAAAAGTAGCAAATTAAGGACAAATTTAAAATGAGAGGGGTCTAATTTCATAGAGAGTCACCAAAAAACATATTTTTTGGCTTATACAGAAGTCTAAAGAAAGATACCTTTTAATAAATTTGGAAAGTTAACCCAAAAGATTTTGCAATACACACATTCCCATAACAAATGAATAATCGTCTCATCAAATTGATGCCAAAAGGAGCATAAGGGGGAAATACTATTATTGAATTTAGCAAATGTATAATTAAATGGGAAGCAATTGTGAATAATTTTAATTGAGACTTCAAACACTTTATTAGATAAGAAATATTTTTGCCGAAGGAGCCAGAAAGCCTCCCACCCTTTATCTCCAAAAAGGGTTCTTTTTCTGCAGTGATGTCATAGCTAGAAGAAGCATTTTTTGGTTCCGAAAGAACCTTTCAGTGAATAGTTCTTGAAAGTGATGCTCACTAAGGGTCACTTTTTGTGAAAAAGGCGTTGGCCACCCAAAAATTTAACATGGCGGCCATTTTTTTAAGATGGCCGCTTTTTCTGTCAAATGCTGATTATGTTAACCGTTCAAACAGTGATGTAGCCATAACATTTTGTGAAAATACTCTCTTCTCTCTCTCGAATAAAAAATGTGTTTTTTTGAAAAACGGAGCTTGTATACAAGCTTGATAAAAAATGATCATTCTAGAAGAAAATTTCAAATGGCACTTAGAGGCTTTTGCATCTGAACTGTGACGTCACACTTGTGATACATGAAGTGCATTATGGGCGTAGCCGCCATTTGTAAGGTATCGATGCTGGGATATTCTGTTGGAGATTTTTTTTTTATTCTTTTTTTCAAACTAAACCATCCTTAACATGACACTATTATCATCATCCTCAATACTAACTTACTAACTTTACAGGGTTTATTCACATTCCTACCGAAGGATACAGTAACTTGGTGAAATGTTCGCGGGCTTTAAGAGATGTATAGTTTTTAAATTGTTCACTGGTAAAGTTATATGCGCTTATACCATAAACAAGATAGTTGACAAAGTATGAGAAAGCAATGCAGGATCAGCACTCCAACTTACTGCAGTGAGCTGAACTCATATATGGATCTAGATTTAAGATTTCCAACTTTTGACGAGACAATGTCCACTCGCTATAACCTCCTCACCAACAAGAAATCGATACAACCCCTACACTTTTTTGTCTGTATATCTGGCAGCGCAAGCCCAAACACAAGACGTTTCATCATCGTTTCAACTTTGATCAACAAATGGCTATTATTACTGTCATGGGAAAATTATAACTATTATTATGTAGTAATTTAGACAGACACTAAAAATTTTCAATTTTCACACTGATTATGGTTTGGAGCTTTTAATTTTGGATTGTCGAAAAAATCTTTTTCGCCTAGGACAACCAAAGGGCTAGAGCGGTTGTGTTCTAATCAATTTCACTCAAAATAAACTGACACCAGAGACCAATGTCTCATGTGCTGAGAACGCTACCTAAACACAACATCATCCACGTTTAATCATCCCGGGCGATTCATGATCAGAGTCAGAGAGTGGCAGCCTCTTGAACCACCACCACGTTCAGCTGGAAAACTATACCAAAATGCTCTGTTCGACTTTTCTGAGATCATCTACTCTTCCATGTGGATGACCTGTGACCTACTTTCTGTAAGATCTGAATTTTTGACATTGAATTTTTGACACTGAATTTTAGAAAATTGAATTTAAAGTTTCTTCATCTTGAAAACTTGAATCTGTATTTTTTTTAACTGAATATTTGCAGTATTTGAATTCAGAACAAAAATACATGTCTATAAAATTCAGCCATACTGTAAAAACCTTTTAGTTTGATAAATTTTAAATGTTCAATATTCGTTACAAAAAATTCAAATTCAGAACTATTTAAACTACCACCTAAAATTCAACTTTGTTAGAATACACTTGCAAATAATTCAAATTTACAAATTCAAATTCAGATTATTTTGTCATATTACTGTAATAGCTCCATACAGTTTGTACTAATTGTTTTGCAACTGCATTAACTGTTGTGCAAATGTAAATAATGATGTGAGAAATGCACCAAAGCGACTGAGAAAAACTGGAGTTTGCTATTCCAAAGTCTTCTAGTTCCCACTCCCAAACCCTCCCTCCCTCCCTCCGAACTCATAACTCATCTCCACTGTGTCAGTGTAACAAGCGGAGACAGTGAGTGTGAGTCAAATATGCTCACTGAAAACATTACGCTTCTGAAACAGCAGGTACAATAGAGTTAACAAGGCGAGAGGAAACCAGAGTCAGACTATCAAACAGACAGACAGACGCACTTAGATAGATAGATAGATAGATAGATAGATAGATAGATAGATAGATAGATAGATAGATAGATAGATAGATAGATAGATAGATAGATAGATAGATAGATAGATAGATAGATAGATAGATAGATAGATAGATAGATAGACATCATCAGTCGGGGACACTGTCGCCATGGGGACGACTGGCTGAAGACCGCCACAGGAAACTCCCTCACAATGGCCTTTGTAATCTTATCAACTCACACCAAATACACACAGACCTTGAGTCACAAGCTTTTTAAAGTTTGATCCCGAGTCTTCAGGCGGGCAAGGGGTGGAAGAGAAAATCCCAGTGGGGTTAACTATTAGTTTGGACCTGTCCCGGGCCCAGCAGCACATTTCCTGCTTCAACTCAGGATAGAAAATATTCAACACCCTCTATTGTTTCAGAACATAATGATAACAAATCAGCCAGAGGCCCGCTTGTTGGAGAACACAGGAGTGTGTCGCTCTGAAAGATTATCAGTGTCACAGACAGTGGGAATATAGTACATCACACCTATAGATCTTCTCAAGAAATCAGATGTCTTAATATTTCCTTCAAAAGAGCAGAAGTATAGACAACCGATTTCACAAGCTCTTCTGTGTCATCTGAAATTGAGAAACACGGTCAAAAGAAGAAGAAAAAACAGTCTATTTGCAGGACCATTAAGAAATTGTTAATTATTTTTATTTTCAGGAGAATTTAACACATTTACCTCCCAAATTCACATTAGCATAAAATTATTTCATGCTACTTTATTACTTATTATGTATCATTTAATTCGTAAAGTATTCTAGCGCCTTATTTTTTTGCCTATTTAAATATTAAAATAAATATTTTTAAATAAATATTTTTGCTTAATTAAAAAATAAATATAACATTGGAGTAATACAGTATATATATAT